AAGTAATAGTTATAATAGTAAGTAGTAGCTATAATAGTAATAGTTATAATAGTAATAGCTATAATTAACTAGAATAATAACTAGAATAGCTACTTATACTTCTAAATATAGAAATCTCAACTAGAATATCTCATATATATTTCATATCATGATATGATTCTATAGATATATTATACCGTAGAATATCCCGTTAAGATCTCGAATCTATATTAGAAAAATAGTATAATATTCGACCCTACTTATACTATACTCGAGTATAGTATAATATTACTTAATATGAAATATTTTATAAGATATACTATATCTACTGGCCGGAAAGGTATGGTATATCCCATGGGATATTCCATACCAAGTGATACCACACCATACCCGGGTATGGTATGGGTAGGGTCGGATACCATACCATTTTTCTGGTATGGGTTCGGGATCTTGGCGGTATATCCCACGGTATCATAGCTACCACTATCATCTACCATGACTGCCACTACCATGGCTGCCCCTTACTGGCCGCCCCTACCATGGCCGCCCCTACCAATGGCCGCCCCAAACACCACTACATGGCTACCATATGATAGTAGGCTATTTTAATAATAAATAGTGATAGCCATGATAGTGATAGCCATGGTAGTGGTAGCTGTTAGAATGTCAGGTATGTGATGTGTAGAACGGACGATCAATTCTCCAGAACCTCTCCGGGGCCAGGTTCTAAATATAGTACAAAATTAGGTAGCTGGAAAACATGGTGGCTGGGATGCGCGGGGGCCATATTTCGATGGTAGGCATGGTAGTGGAGTCATGGTAGTGGCAGTCAGGTAGATGATAGGGAGCCATGGTTGGCCAGAATGATGATCAGAATAGCTACTTATACTTCTAAATATAGAAATCCCAGTCGGGATATCCCATACATATACCATTCCATGGTATGATACCACAGATATACCATACCGTGGGATATACCGCCAAGATCCCATACCATACCAGGTATGGGATCATGCAAATCTCAATAACCCGTACCATGCCAGAGTATGGTATGGCAGGTCAATATCCCATACCATACCATACCTTTCCGGCCAGTAACTATATCTTTTCGATTAGTATAAGAATATAACGAATTAGACTCGAAGATAGATCTTCTTATAAGAACGTTCTTTTTATTATCGATATAGATAAAGTTAAATAATATTAACGTCGATATAGCGTATTTATAAGTCTATCTAATAAGTATAATTATTATAAATAAGATAAGAAAGGCTATAACGTAAGTATCGTTGAAGAGAGCCTTAGAGAAAAACGCGATTCTTAATCTAATTCTTAAAAAGATTCTAAAGTCGTTACTTTCTTATCTATATAGAATATTTAATATATATATAATAAATAACTACTACTTAGAGTACTTTAGAATATTAATAATAATTATTCTTCTAAAGTCGAATAAGAACTATTCGATTTTTAAAGGATATCGATTAATAGCTTTACTTAATATTATAGAAAAGGTAATAAAATTTATTCTTACTAGAAGAATAGTATATCTTGCGAAAATATATAGACTTCTACTAGTTATATATATAAGAGGCCGTAGATTGCGATTATATAAATATAATATTTACTATCTTCTAGAAAGAATATATTAGATCTAAAACTCTAATAAAGTAATTACGATATTATTACTAGACATTTTAGATATATATAATAAAGTCTCTTATTCTCGACTACTTTATAATCTTCGAAAGCGAAAAATTAATATAAGAGTAGTTAATTAGATAGAATCGTTCTTATTTAATAGAATAATAATATTAAAAATAAGCGAATACTTTATATTAAAGACTTCTATAGTAATTAAAATTTCTTAAGAATTATCGTTATCGCTTATACTTTATCTCTTCTATAATTTAGATCTTATTAATAAATATAATAATCGCGTCGACTTAGAAACGATAGTTATCGACTTTATAGATGATATAGATCTTTTAATAATAGAAGACTCTATCGAGGAAAATTATAACGCTTTTTATAAAATCTATAACGAAGTTTATATAAAGTAGGCGTTACGATATAAATTGAAGTTTAATCTTAATAAATATTAATTACTATATTTTAATAGAAAATAGAGATTTAGCTTAGATTATTTTCTATAATTTAATAAGAGATAATATATTAAGGCGAGACGCTTTATTCGCTATCTAGAAGTCGAAATTTTAATTTTAAACTTCTATAAAGTTATTATAATAAGAAGATTTAATCTAAAACTATTAAAAGTATTAATATATTAGCGAGAATTATTAAATTAATATAAGATAATAATTATAAGAGTATAAGATAGCTCTATTAGATGATAATTATTCTATAAATAACGTATTACTACTTAATATAATATTAGCCCGAAGATATTATTAATTATAATAAAACTTATCTCTTATCGTTATAAAGGATTTAATCTTAGATAGAGAGAAAGATAATTAAAGTATTTAAGGCTATATTTATTTTAGTATTCGATATAAAAGCGTATTTTCTATTAGTTAAATAATAGCTAGATAAGATTATCTCGAAAGCTATTTTATAAATCGCTACTAGTTTAATATATAGCGAGATTATTAAGTTATAATTCGAGTAATAAAAGTTTAAAAGAAAATCTAAAAAGAATAGGAAATTAAGTTTACTAAAGCGATATATTAATAGATTTAAAGAATAATATAGCGATATTAATAAGATTAAGAAATTACGCTCTTTTAGCGTCGCTTTTAATTAAGAGTCTTTTAAAATAATAATTTATAAGACTAAAAAAGCCGCTAAAGAATTAATTAAAAGATCGATTAATAAAAGTTATATAATAATATATATAGACAATAGCGAGATTAATAAAAAGATGAGAGTTTTAGCTATATTATTAGATATTAATTCTACTTTTAATATCTATTTAGACTTAAGCGACTAATATATAATATACTTAACGAAATTATATAATATTCTTTAAGCTTTAATTATAATAGTTATATATTAAATAAGGTTATAACTTAGTAAAATTATAGTAAATACGAATAATTAAGTATTAATTTAAACTATCGAAGACTCGAGTAAGTATTTAAGATAGATCTATATAATATAAGTAGTATAGATTATTAATTCGCTAAGATATCTCGAGATAGTAATAGAATTATATTAGATTTCGATATATATTAATATCGATAATAATAAATAGATAAATAGAGAGACGAAGAAGATTACTAATTAGCGAGAGCGAGTAATTTATAATAAAAGAGTAGAGGTAAATATTAATAAAATAGCTTAATTATTAATTATATAAATAAGAATAATATTAATAATTAAGATAGCTATTAGAGATTACGTAATAGAATAATAAATTATCGAATAGATTAATAAGAAGCGAGGTGGTATTCTTAGAAGAATCTAATTAACATCGTTAAAATAAATATAACTTTTATATTTAAGAGTTAAGCGCGCTAAGATATCGCTAATAACGTAAATAAGAATTAAGAAAATAGGTCTTAAGGCCTTTCTTTATAATCGATAGATATCGAATATAGAGAATAAAGAATATAAGTATAAAGCGAAGTAGACGACTTAATATATTCTTTATAAATATAGATTATTTAATAAGAAGCGAGGAATATAATAAGCTAAAGAAAGAAGGAAGATAAAAGAGAGGGTTATTACTTATAAGAATATGCTAATAAAGTTACACTACGCCTCTATAACGACGGACTTTATAAGAAGTATTAAACTTATTAAATAATATTAAGCCCTTAATAAAGATTAATAATAAGAATTTACTAGAGTAGGCGGTTAAAAAGAAGAATACGATTAAGATAAAAGGGTCTTAGCGATATAGAATATACCTCTTTTTAAGAATTAAGGATAGTAAGATATAGAATTATAACGATAACTTATATAGTCTTATTTATTTAAGATTATATGATTGGCCGAAAGGATTAGATAGATTACGTAACTCGCATAGTCGGCTACTAGGGTAAGACTTCAGGGTAGTATGATGTAATCAATCAATCAATCAATCAAGATCGAATATTACTCCTACACCACCAATAACGTACAGTAATACTAAGCTATCCTCCAGGCTCCATGGAACGAAGTAGTCTCTAAGAGCTGGGCTTGAAGACACAGCAGCCAAGCGTTAGTTGAAGTCAGCCACTGCTCAGACGCAGGTCCCTAAGGCAATCAATATGAAAGCGATCCAGCTGCCACCTCGGGTTCGCCTAATGCTAGAATATACCCGCACACTGCTGTATGAGGGCAGCGGATGGTCCTCCGATACTTGTTGACTCCTGAGAGTATGCTGACCTAGGCCGATTGGCAAAGCCACAGTGACCTGCGTAAATGGTAAGCTGCTTTCTTAAAACTTCTACAATAGACGAGGTCTGTCCAAAAACGCATGCCATTCCTCGACGAGACACCCGTGCCGCCATTGTCTGTCGCTACCCATCTTGCGTGAATCCTGCCATTGGCCCCAAGGATTGATTGATCAGGGGTACATCAATGCCAAGTGAACGCCTTCATGCATCCTGCTGGCTTACATTTCCAAAAACGGAACGCTTACATTTCCTCATCCGCTGTAGATATCTTCAGCCTCGTCCCAATGCACAGAACAAGTCACGGGTTATCAACAGCATCTCCTTCTAGTCCCAGCCTCTTCTTAAAACCCGCGCTCTCCCCCCAAATCTTCCCTAAATCTTCCTTTTTCAATTTTGTTCTAGCTCGCGCTTCCTCGTTGCTATACAGCTGGGAATTGAAGAAAAACATGCGTTTTCTATTGCCCATTGCGCTGTTTTCGTCGTGCGCGTCCACTCTTGTCCTACCCCCTTTCATTACACCTGCGCCGCAAGTTGCTAAACGCAAGGCTGCCGAGAACATTTGCGGCTACTACTCGCTCGGTGGTCTAAGTATGCTCCTGGGCGCCCTCTTCGTCCAATCGCAAGGCTGAGAGGTACAAAGTCAGCACTATCTCCTGTCCCGTCGGCACACCATGCATGGTGGCAACAGACTCGTCACCTGCTGTAGGGTACTGTTCTGGTATTGATAATGACCCCGTCACGACAATATACGGATACGGGTATTGGCCTTCTGAGGAAGGATGTGGCCCTGGAGCAGCGTGTTGGTAAGCCCTACAAAATGCTGGTTTTAAAGCTGAACGTATGGACTAATGGAAAAGTCCATCTGCGACACCTGACGTTGGGCAATATCTTTTTAACGCTGGTGAAACTGTCTTTCTTGGCTGTGGCCTCCTACCTTTCACCTACACCGCCTTCTTCTCAGCGGAGGCCGGGTTTGCGAGCCCGTCGACGCCTGCTGCGGCTCAAACTCCAGCTTCTGCTACCGCTACAACCACATCGCTGCCTCATTCAACCACCGATCTTCTGGCGGGCGTCACTACCCGCCCCGTTTCAGATACCTCCACAACCCCAGTGGCACCACTTCCATCGCAAACAGCCACATCATCAACCTTCTCAAGTACAACAACGAGAACAGTAGTGATCGTTGGGGCGGTTGTTGCTCTGGTCGGTGGTCTAGTGTTCCTGTGGTTTCTATTCATGGCCTGGAAAATCCACCAGGCGCACAAGTACCCGAAGCAACAATATAGGCCCCTTTCGTGTCAGGGCTCGACCGCCTCGCCCCAACCAGGGGCTCCTGTCAACAAGAGCGGGCTGAGTAAGTGGGCAAAGATTGCTACGGTCATCAGTCCAATATTTGCTATCGTTGGGTTGGCTGTGGCAATATACTTTGGACTCAAGCAGCAGAAATGACGGGCAAATTGTATGAATCGACATGGTGTTGGTGGGCGTATTATTCCCTTGCCTTTTGGTTAACTCTAATGTCATGGTATTGCGAGATGTGCTTTGTACAACACAGTGTACGCCTGATGTATGACAATAGGAACATAGAACAATTGTGCCACCTACTTTCAAATCTCACAGAAACACTTCGACGAACACCCTTCTAAACGCTAGCTCTCACCAACCTCCGTCATATCCATCACCCTCGCACCCCTCGTCCCATTCCTTAACGCCGCCAACCCTCCCTCCTCCGATCCCTCCCCCAACGGCGGCCCCAACAACGCCGCAACGTTCCCGTGCAGCCCGATCCTCGCGAACCCGGCCGTGCCGTACTTCTTCAAGCAACCAAAGTAGATCCCGTTCAGATCCCCCTGCGCCCCCTCGAGCGAGAACGTCTCCGACGCCGTGGCCGGCACGCCCGGCCCGTACAGGTCCATGCTCAGGTGGCACGTCCGCCCCGTCGCGGCGTCCGTCTGGACGAACACCACGGGCAGCCGGTGCGCGCCCGTCGCGTATTCGGACCAGATCTCTCGCTTCCTGTAGTCGGGCAGGGTCCGGAGGCCCGTGAGCAGGCGCGCGCAGACGACGAGGGTGAAGCCGCCCGGCTGGCGCCGGCAGACGGGCTGGCCGATTATGGGGGCTCCGGTTAGGGTCGTGTTGGTGAGGGTGGGAGGGGGTGGGAGGGTGAGGGGGAGGGAGGGTGGGGTCAGGATGAGGAGGGTGAGGGAGAGGGTGAGGGAGGGGAGGGGGAGATGCATGGTTGTTGATTTCTTCCTTTGGAGAAGCAGAGATGGGGATTGAAGGAAGAAAGAAGTAAAGAAAGGTGGAATGCTTCGAGTAGAGGTTTGTTCCATCGGTGTTCGGGAAAATTGGATGCGCAACAACCGCACTTGCGCTTTTTTTAACGAGAGGATACTTCCGTTTCCGTTTCCGTTTCCGAATGCGCTCGCTAAACTGTCGCATAGCTCTTTCGAGCGCGAACAAAGTGCGATGAAATATCGCGATCGTACAGCCATATGGGAGAAAGCTGCCGAAGTGTATAGCTTTTGGTCTATGAAGGAAGGCGCGCCGTGCTGTTTTTTGGGGGAACGGGGGGATTCTGATGCGTCATGCGAAGCCCTTCCCTGAAAAGACGGAGAAATCCGGCGTGAATGAGTATCCTTTGCTGGCAATGGCATCAACATACGCCAGCGAGTGATCTCCCAACCTAGTGCGCGATTTTAGGATTGCAATCATGCAAACTGCCGCAAAAAGGAGATGCACAGCCGTCGTCGTCGCGTTACATACTCATCTTCTCCTCAGTCAGACATCTCCTCGCCTTGTCTCAACTCGTCGCGCCGCTCACAAGGAGAGAACTAATGCCCAGAGTCCTTCTCAGTATACTTACCTGTTCCGCAAAGTGCATGTCAACCTCGATGAAGCCACACTTACGTCCTCACTCCGAAAAACCCACCATCAGCGAGAGACTGAACGCTGAAAATATGTACCGCGCGGTATTCGACTTGTGCTCCGCCGAACCGGATGTAAAAACTAAGTTCCCGGCGATCGCTATGTCGATCTCCGTTGGGTGCGTGCCAATTTCGTGCGTGAGGTCGGTGATGGCGTCGCTGGCAGCAGGTATAGTCTCCCCAAGCTCATCGCCTGAAATTGTGATCCCAACGTTGGGGTTGCTTTTGGCCATGAAGCTCAATCCTGGCATACTACCATTGAAGCTTCCTAACGCCAGGGAGACCATGGCATGGACATGGACCAGCAGATACGACACTGCGTGGCGTCTAGGGTCATTGAAGGTCCGCACTGCGCTGAGTTCTGGATTGGTCGCCTTGAAGAGCATTGCGATTTAGGAGTGCGTTTTTGCAGAATTATCGAGGTTGATGGGAGTTGGGTTTCTAACGGTAGCTGCATGCATAAGCGTCAAGTGTATTGAGAAGAGTAGAAGGAAGAGGCAAAACAAACGAGGCTTGCATCATAAGGTTTATATAGTAACAGATTATGGCAAATGGAAGGCATTGATCTAAACCAAATCGGCGTTTGATTTCGCCATTCTTTTGGGGATATCTCAGCACAAGCGATTAGCTATGCGACAGGGGATTCGTGTTAAAAGAGATAAGACGATTCATTCCAAGTGAGAGTATTTCGTGCAACATGGATTTAAGACGATGGCATGGCGAATTGATATAGAGAACCTCATCACTGATGTCATGCTAGTAGAGAAGAAATACGGCCGTACTCGTATGTTAGGATCGGGCATCGTGCGACCAGACAATGTGTACATCTTGTCCGCCGCTAGTGGGTACGCTGGATTTCTTCCAAGCTTGACTGCGTTGATGACCGATAAGAAAGGATTTTGGACTTCCGCCAATGCTTGAGATTCTAGCTTTAAGCGCGATAAGCGCTGCCGCCGGGCTTTTCACTGAGTTTTCAGGGATTCCGCCCCACTGAGTGTCAATCCAGATTAGGCTGGACACTTGAGACGAGGTTTAGAAGGTACAGTAACATTTGCACTGGGCAGATGCCGACCTGGGCAGAAATGGAGGACAATACCACGACTAGCTGCTTGTCTATTACGATGGCTCTCCACTTTCAGATCATGGGTCTTTCCACCGACCGCGTGGCGCTTTTTCTATCACTCGCTATCGCTGGGCATAAGGACATCGTTCAGCGTTCCTCTTCACGTACTTGGCCGACCTATACTTTCGTATACGCGCAAATGATTATTAGTATGCTTCAATTCACTGCCCAATCTACTTTGCCCTCTGCTACCCTCACCCTGAGCTCTGCGTCCACCAAAATGGCGGCCTCTTTGCCACGCTTGACGGGCTCGTATGTTACGTCAAGAACATAGACCACCAACCCTTCCAAGCTCCTCTACGCCATAACTGACAAGACCTGCCCTCCTTCCTGAGTCTCCTTCGGTTGCTTTGGCCTGCCTCATTTGATTCCAGAATGCGTTGACTGAGAAGGTGGCGTGAGGGGAAGGTGCAACCTGTCACAGACGAACGGTGAGACAGGCTCTATAGACTGACACCGGTTCCATTCAGGGCCACATTCTTGAAACTACAATTGAAACCTGCATTAGCCGTTCCGCTTTTTCTGCTCGCGAATTCCGGTATAAATATGATTTCAAGAAGAAGGTAATGAGCTTACGGTGGAATCGAATGGAAGCCGAGGCAGAGTTTAAATTAGGAACGATTCTGCCATCGAGGCAATATAGCGACAACGGCTCAACGGCAAAGGCACTGCATCATTTAACTCAGAGCCCATCATACACGCGGCTATTCAACTGAGCCTCAACGGATCTCTTGAAAACGAGCTCTGGGCTTGGTCAAGGTTCATCAAACTTCCCCAAAGATTTTCAAGCCCAGGGTTATCTGACTGAAAGGCTACGCTGTAAGTCCGATCATTTGGCCCTTCTTCACCTTTTGTCAAACGCGTTGATGCTTATATATCACATGACCTGCAAACACTTATTCTGCCTAAGCTTGCTCGCCTCATTAATTATTCACTTTCATATTCACGTTCGCCTTAACTTCAAATCCACGCCTAGATTCACAGTGAAAACTCAACCATGTTCTTCATTTGCATCGACACTCTCCTGACGCTCCGGTCGGTCCTGGACCGAGTCCCTCCAAATAGTTGTTCCCGCTAGACTCTTGATCGACGCGTCTGTAAAGCAAACAATGGCAGGATCGAACACAATCGTTTTGAGTAGTCGCCTAATTGAGCTCCGATGGGGAGACCAATCCTACTGTGAGTCTCTAATCTAAATCCGTCTCTCATGTTCTCACAGCCTCTATAAGACCACCGAAGGCGCGGACGTGACTACAGTCTACGGGGATATGACCAGAAAGGTGCACAGCTTCGCTCTTCAGCTTGGGTCAAAAGTCTTGGGTACCATGTGCAATGGGCCTTTCCAGGCATGGTTGCGTTTATGTCAAAAATCAGGTATGTGATGTGTAGGTTGCATCAATTATTCTATCTCCGGACCCCCCTGGGCCAGTATTTGTATCCGATGCAAGTTAGATGGTTGTTCTTACAGGTGGCTTATTTCAACAGTTTAAGCTCCCAAATGACAGCGCAACTAAGGCTTTGGACGGGAAGGGATTACCAAGCGTATCGAGCTCAAGGATAATGACCCGTTCCTAGTTTGGCGAATCATACAACACCTCTACACCTACAACTACTCTGCAAGCCAGTCAAACTTTGCAGCAGGCACAGAAACCTCCTTTATCTCTGAGCTCCACACTCATGTCCAAATGTATGCATTGGGCTACCAGTACGACATCAAGAACCTTGAGAAAGAGGCTTTGAAGAGGTTCGAACCAGCCATGAAGGGCAAAGAAGGAAAAGGCGACGAGTTCACAGCTGTACTCGGGGTCGCAAGTACCACATACGCGACTACTCCAGATAGTGATCGCGGCCTTCGCGATGTCGTCGTAGCCTTTGGGGCGAAGCACATGGAGGATATAAAAGACCTGCTGGAGGGAGACAATCACGGCTCAGATTCCGAAGTACACGATTCAAGTAGCCAGCATGGCTGATAAAAACACTCTAGAAAAGAAGAAGGTTTACACAAAGATCTGCCAGCGTGTCCGTTGCCCAAACATGGACAAGTGGAAGTATAACCGAGTTCGCTGCGAGTGCGGAATTTACCAGCATTTGACACCAGACGAGATGGTGAATGCATCTTTATAGGCGGTTGAAAGTGTAAAATGTTAGGATCTAGTGTGAGGTCTTGACATGCCCCCTGACACTTCAAGCTCATCTAAAGTCGACCAGATTTCACTTGCTCCTCAAGAAGATGTGCGAGATGCTTATCATTTGTGAATCAAACCCCCGCACAAACAGATATGGCAGCCAGCTAGACTCTGTGAGCTTCCCTGATAGCGGATATGGCCCGGCTTCCGACCATCGCAAGTCGCCACCCAAAGATAACGTACTACGCGATGGAGCACTATGGCTTCCCGTCTCGCAGTCTCGTGCCATTGAACCTTTTTCTTGGAAGATGGTCGGGCAAAACAGGATTCTGTCTATCTCACAATTCATCAAAGCGTGAAACCTTGAAAGTTGCCCCCGGGCTCTAAAGCCACGATGCGTAGGGTGTGGGCGCTTGTTTCGATCCTCCCACAATGCCTCAGCGCTCCAACCGCAAGACCGGTCTTGCTTGCGGTGTCGTTACCAGCCGCCAACAGGACTGTGAACCAACACATCGTTATTTCTGTGCTGTCATCCGATCCGGCATCAAACCCCTCACCGACGCTATCCTCACTACCCAGCAACTCTATTGCTCTTGAATTGTCAAATGCAAACTACTCACTGTCTCTTCCCGAGAATTCTACAGTCAGCCTCCACTTCCATGTTCCTGACACACTGATCAATTTGACGTTCACATTTCCTGGCCGCCCACTCAGCTTTATAACCATGGTTGAGGCCGTGAAACTCGCCATCGATGAGATTGCGACGAATGTGGGTCTCCGTCCGACAGAGTCTATCACGCACGGCTTTTTCCGGCAGCGTCGCGATAAGTTGGAGATTAATATTCACCAGTATGGTGCAAAGCAAGTAACTTGGTCTTTGTTGGAGCAGCTTCTCTTGGGTATACAGTACTTCATGTCACAACTCGGGACGCTGTGCGAAATGCGGTTTCAGATTGACGTTCAGAGTAAGGGCAGGGTAGGCCACGGATCGCTGTGGTATACAGGTCTTCAAAGCAATGATGTTGTAAAACGAGCTGTCAACGAGACTTCCGAGCAGCTACCGATGTTGAGCATCTCGAAGCCGGCGCTGACCAACTGGAATGGTTCCATGCTCTCACATATCCCGGACGAGAGAAGCATTGTCTTCTCGTACCATTTCTTCGGCCCAACCATTCCCGAATCCACAATATCCATGTGCTTGAGACTCGCACGACAGAGCATACGTACTAACGTCCAACTTCATCCACACGATGGTCTCCCTGACGGCTTGTTCCAGTATCGTGCGTGCGGCGGCGATGTCTCAATCGGTATCAAGGCCTATGCCGACAACGCCATCTCTTGGCTCCTCCTGGACCAAATCCTCCATGACATCAGCCGCGATTTGATCGGTGCGCATCATCTGTTGGCGTGTGAGTTTGAATTCGAAATCTATCCCTTCGAGCGACCACACGGCCACGGGTCCTTGCAGTATGATCCCACAACCATCCTTCCTGCAATCCCGTCCCATATCGCGGCCTCTGCTGTCAAAAGGACTTTCCCTCAGCTTCGCTACGCGAACGCCACTTTGAACAGCCCGCCGCACGCGAGGACCTCCCTGCCGAACCCGACCCACACCTGGGCTGTGGTTCTCCCCGTCCCTGGCACCCCCATCACTCTCCTCGTCAACAGCCTCGGAAACCCCCTCCCCCTCTGGGACGTCGCCAGCACCCTCAGCGGCGCCCGTAACGAAGTTCTCAGCGCTCACGGCACTTACGCGAACCTTCCGATCAACAACGGCCGTTTCCAGTACAGTCATGCAGGCTCCAGCGTCTGGGTGCGGGTCGTCGCGAAATCCGAGCAGATTGTTACGTGGCAAGACTTGAACGATGTGTTGAAGGGGCTTTTTGAGTTTCTGTGCACGGGGAAGAAGGCGAGGAGTAGGTGGTTGCTGTTTGAGATTTTCAGGGATGGGAGGGGCATCGTGGGGGATGGATTGGTGTCTGGGCATAGGCCGGGAGTGGGTGTGAGTGATGCGGGATGAGGTGGTGGTGCTCTTACGGTCAAGAAGTAATTCAAAAACATGTTTTCACCGTTTTGGATCTCGTGTATGAATTTGGCAGGTCGCATGGTTGAGGAGAAGACATAATCATGGAGAGTTGAAACGGGATCGATCCTCGAAACATCGATAAGTTCACACGGACGAGCAGACTCTCCCACGGTGTAATGCTTACTTCTTATTCGTGAATGACCGTTTTCTGAAAAACGCAGCTGCAAATCGGTGTAAGGATGAATATAGGAACCCAATACCTCAGGCTGTAACTTTTTGGGGGGGGGGGGGTAATTGGCCTGTAAAAACGTAGTAGCCGACTTTAACAGTCATTATAGCGAGGATCAATTCGGCATGGACTTGCTTCTCTCCACCACCGGTCTATGTGCGAATTAAGCAGAGTCTATACATGCTATAAAGCAACTACGCTCATGCCATCATTTCTTAGTATCGATCTCATCATCTTCCTTGCTCGGCTTCTCGAATCGCTTTCTCAAGGTCGTAATCATTCTCCCGAACCAATAGAAGTTCAAGACGCTCAGCGTCGTATTGCTGACGACATACGCCACCGCGAGCCAAGGCGGTACCGGCAAGCCTCCAGGCGTCTCGAAGGCAGTCCAGATGTCCTGATACATCCTAACGCTCTGATAGGTGCCCCAGACCAAGCGACTAGCCCCGAAAGTCGTGACGAGCGCGATCCCATTGACGAGCTGTGCCGTGGATCCAGTCATGCCGAGCTTATCCATGAACCAGTGAACATTGAGAAAAGGCGTGGACAACTCATAGAGGATGAAGTTCAGGCCGTAATAGTTGCAAAACGGCCGCTGGGCGCCAGTCAGCCTCACCCCTCCTCGCTTCCCACCCTCCGACCAGTTTCAGCACTCACGAATCCCAACAACGACACCGCCAACGCGCTCCCCGCATGCATCAGCGCCCCCGGCCCGTGCACGTCCAGGTCCGCCGCGCTGGTTGCCACATCCCACAGGAAGTACCCGGCCGCGAACCCCTGGACCATACCGCTCGCGCCCGTGTAGCCCCAGACCCTCTCCCGGGGTCCCATCGCCCAGCGCTCCCGGTCGAAGTGGATCACGGCCAGCGCGGCCGCGTTCACGCAGCTTGACTGGAGGAGCGAAACGACGCGGGCGTTCCAGTTGACCCGGGTGCGCGGGTCGAGGCCGGGGTAGGTTCCGGGGCAGAGGCGGCGCGAGGCGAGGGGCAAGAGGTAGCCGTCCAGGAAGGCGTAGATGGTGAAGGCGGGCAGGATCTCGTGGGCGTGCAGGGGGAGGGTGCGGAGGGAGAGTGTCCGCGCTAAGGGGTTGGTGAACTGGATGAGGGAGCGGGGAGCCGGGATGGGGTCCCGCATCGTTGCGCCGGTGAGGGGGGTGTGGTCAAGGGATCATCGTCTGGGTCTTCATGGTTGGAAGGGAGAATGCTTCGATCGGCACTGTTGAGATTCGATGCAAGCATTCAGGCGAGTTGGATGTTTTTGCGGTTCCCTGCATGCAACTGCTCGTCATTGACTTTAGATCAAGCGCTAAGATAACGCTGCTTCGGAAGATAAGATAAGGTAGCTTCTCCGTCCCTGCATGATTGAATCGATCATTCAGCCATGTCGATCTTATCCCGACCTCCAACGAGATCGATGGATCTTTCACCGCTTGCTCGGGCCGCATCTACATTACATTTATCCGAGAAGAGTCTTGCGAAATTCAATGCATTGAATGTGTATTTTGTGACGTGAACAGGAAGTTTTATCCCGGCATTGTTAGCGAATTACGCTGGCTTCGCAAACGGCAATTCCGAGAATAACGTGGGCCCATAAAGAACCGCTTTTACCGTCGAGAAGGGGAGCTAATCCATATCTATGCCACGTCAACTCCTGATTGACTGTTTGCTTGCGCAGTGTTTGCCGGTATTGAGAGGAGCAGGCCCATAAACATCGGCCGTCTCGCTCTTTCTTACCTTGAATGGACGTATACTTGAAGCGCCGGAGCGGACTTCACGTCCGTTCAAAGGCTAATAGTTCTCAAATGTGTCCATTTTGATCTTAGTATAAGGGGTTGAAGGGTTTTGGCGACAATTTGGCTTAGAAATATATAGAAGGGCAGCTTTCGTCGGGATCACCTGCCCACATTCACCATCTGCTTT